GTCGGAGGGTCAGTGCTGAGGGAGTGCCGCACTGTCGGAGGGTCAGTACTGAGGGAGCGCTGCACTGTCTCAGGTATAGCAGGCAAATTCTCTTGTTATTTTCCTTCTGCCGATATTCATCTTACAGCATTTCCCATTCAGGTCCAATGAGACATGACACCTAATGGATAGGGGGGAAATGTTTGAGTACAAAGTCCTGCGGCTTCCATAACAGAAATGAGGAAAACTTATAGACAGTGAACCATCACCAGTTGCACAGAAATTGATGCTTTGTTCAGCAACTTTCTCCCAGACACTGAGGAACATAGTAACAGGCCCGGGCCATTCAGCTGCTTCAGTGTGTTCCACCAGTCAATGACAGCATGGCTCCCAACTCCATGTCCCTTAATGGTTTTGGTTAGCAAAGTAAATCAATCAATCTCTGGTTTAAAATTAAGAACTGATCTAGCAATAATTGCCATTTGCTCCTGCCCTATCCTGAGTCGCGTTTCATCATTACACTCCTGAAAGACCTGACTTTCATCTTAAACTCTGCCCCTTGACTGACCACCCAGGCAAAGGAAATGGCTTCTCCCAATGTGTTCTGCTCAATATTTTGAAAACTTTGATCAAATCAAATGATTTGTGCAAAAGGCTCTGGAACCTGATCAAGCTGTGGTCATGCTGGTGAAACATAAGCTGAGTTTGTGATCATCACCACGACCCATTGGAGAACCTCATCCACTTCACTCAATCCGAGAGGCCACACTCAACCTGGACATGGTAAATCCAGCCACTTACGCTCTTTGTAGATAACTCCAATGAGTACCTTGGGCTCGGTGCTCACCAGGATGATGGGCCTGTCCTCTGTTGTTTTAGGAAGTGACTGCACCTGGTGAGTCAGTTCCAACTCCAAACGATGGCCCTCATAAACAAACTCTTGGTTCTGAGGGGAGATGTCAGCCTGTTTGAGGATAGCATCCATCAATACGTTTATTCTGCAAAAAAAACAGAGGCAGCATTTTGATGCAGAGATGATGAGATGGTTGACTGTAACCTCGCCATTTACTTTTAGAATCCTCGCTGATTTTTCATTACTTTTATTGTTTTCTTTTCTCAGTTTTGGCTTGGAGCTGCAAACTGTGAACTTTGAGCTGAAGATGACCTTTGGCTGTAGGCAGCAGCTTGTGTTTTAAAAAAAGGGACAAATATGCTGTTTTTGTTTGTAATGCCAGGCCTAAAAGTTAATTTCAGGTTGGTTCTTGATCAAAGTTTGATACCAATGGAAAGCAGAATGTCTTACTAAATAGCAGAAGACCTGCTTCCACACTGTAGGGATTCAAAGTTTGGCCATTAACGAGGTTAGGAAATAATGCCAGCAAGTCTGGGAGGGAACGCGATGGTCAAACAGAGAGGGGGCTCAGAGTTCAAACTGTTCTTTTTTTTGATTGTGTTTGAGAGAAAGTTTTTTCTGTTGATGCAATAGCATGAAGTTTTTGAAAGCTCCCTCCCGAACCTCTCATTATCAGCCACTGGAAGTGCAGAGAATAGAAACTAGGTAGCACTGACTTCTTCAGAATGAACTGCAAAGGTGGCCCTGATTCACGTCTTCAGACAATCAAACATGAAACAGTTATCTCTGCCTATGGAACAATGCATCATAAAAACCATTTCAGTTATCTGGCTAGTTTTGTTATGTCTTTTATTCATCTCTGAATCATGTTTGTTTGTCTGTCTTTTGTGTGAATGGAACTGAAAACAAATGTTGGTTTTGCTTCGTTCACCTCCTGTGCAGTATAACCTGTACGCCTTGCCCTGTCTAAGCACCGTATAATCTGTATGTCCTTGTTTGCTATGATCTTTCTGTACTGCTTGCAAAACAAAACTTTCCACTGTAATTCAATACGTGACTAAATAAATCAAATCAAATTAAACCATTCACATCAATTCGATTACTTTGTCATTTAATTTTGCTCTGCTAAAGTTACTGCATTATTAATAAACAGTTACTTTTTTGTTTAAATTATATACCCAGTATCTAGAATTGATTATTCACAGAGTCTGGATTAGTTTTTGCAAAAAGTCTGGTTAGGAACCATTGGGTAAATCTTGAGTGGCTTTGGTTGTTTAAATTTTCTTGTTGCAAATATAGAGGTAGAAAGGCTGATTTGAATCAGTTGTATGTCCCTGTGTCTAAACAGTTTCTCTCTCAATTCTCCGGCCTCCACACATTTTGAATCAATGTTCTTATGATTATAGCTACTAACAGTCCAATCTTACAAATATTCTCTTTCCTCTGTATACTGGCAATGATACACCTTCATCTTTAGCTCCTTCTTGACCAAGCACGTTGTGTGTTAAAATCTACAGACGTTGAACAGTTGGATTGGTATCGAATTAATCAAAATTTCATTACTTCATCTGTCTTCCTCTTCTAGATCTGCATTTTGGGGTTATAAAAGTGCAACCACTTTTCCCAAACAAATAACAGGACTATATGAAACTCAGAGTAATTCAAAAGGGTTTTGATAGTAAATGGGACTGGGACCAGGCTTTACAGCTGGATGTTGGGATGATGGAGAGGGGAAGGGCTGGTGAGTATATGGAGGGCATATCAATATGCTACAAACTGCATCCGAACAAGGATGAGGGGACTTCTGGTAAATGTGTATGTGCAGGTTTTGTGAATCACTTTCTTGAGAGTAGGCTAGGGGCTTCCACTAATCAAGGCTACAACAACAACTTACATTCCTACAGTGCCTTTAATAGAGTAGAAGCATCAAATGACTTCATGAGTTACTCTGAATAATACAGGGAGAGGAAAATTACCCAATTATGGAGAATGGAGAGACATAGCGGTGGGGAGCTGAGTGACGTTGAGCTGAGAAGTCTGTGCTGGGGCCAGGTAGAACTCCAATCACAACATCAGATGCCATTCCCTACCACAAGCTAAATCTGCAACTCAAAACACTGCAGCCAGCAGCAAACAGCTCACTGGGTGAATCAGTGCTTCCGCCACAGGGTGAGGTACTGGCACCAGTTGGCAAGCAAACAGACTTAGCATGGAATCAGAATTTTACCGTTCATTGATCTGCCATCATTGACAACTCATTCAGGATACAACCTACACTTTCCTCTTGCTAGTAGGACATTAAAAATAGTTCATCTGAACGTGTCTCCATTTTGTAACATGATTGTAATACATCCAGATGTCACCATGGCAACCTGAGGAACTGAATTCAGTAAATCTAGTTGTTTGTGGACCTGTGGATCTGGAAAATAATCTGGAAAACTGCCAGATTGTCAGGAAAATTAACTGGTTCACTAAGAGAAGAAATCCATTAGAGAAGAAAATGTTTCACACCTCTACATGATCTGGGCCCACACTGGATTCCAAATCAACAATGAACAGCTGAAGTGAATGGGAACAGTTTGTCCACCTTATCTACATCTATCATAACCTTCAATACCTCCATCAAAACTCCACTCAATTTCCTTTGCTTCCGGGGTTACAACCCCAGATAATCACTAAAATCCCTGACCCCTGGAACTATTCTGGAAAATCTCCTCTCTCCACCCATAAGATGCATCTCAGTCTACGTTAAACAATTGCTTAGTTGAGGTTATTGATCTTTGAATGTTATTGATGCACTTTAAGGCAGAACAGAAGGAACTTAACGTCACATCAATGATGTGAGATGACAGTGACTGCCCTTGACATCCAAGCTGTATTTAATGGGTTGTGGCATCAAGGACCTCTAACGAAATGGATTCAGGAGAAAACTCTCTGCTTGTTGCAGTTACACCTAGCACAAAGGAAGATGGTTGTAATTGCTTTAGGTTGATCATCTCAGCTCCAGGACATTTCTGCAGGAGTTCCTGAGAGTGGTGTCCCAGGACCTACCATCTTCAGCTGCTTCATCAATGACCTTCCTTCCATAATAATGTCAGAAGTGGGGATATTTGCTGATAATTTCATAATGTTTAACATCAGTTGTGACTCCTCAGATATGAAGTTGTCCATGTACAAATGCAGCAAAACAAGGATAACATCCAGACTTCAAGTTGATAAGTGGCAAGTAACATTCACACCACACAAATGCCAGACAATGACCATCTCCAACAAGAGAGAAACTAACCATCTTTCCTTGAGATTCAAATCACATTACCATTGTGTAATCATCCAGAATCAACCAGATTCTGCCCTTGGGACCTTAAATTGTCTTAAACCTCTTTGCTTGGCAGCAAAAGTCTAAAGGTGATCAAAACTTAAAAGTAAGGTTGAATTATTAATTGTGTAATATGAGTCAGGAGGTTACCATTGACCAGAAACTGAATTGGATTGCCATATAAATACTGTGGCTACAACACCAGGTCAGAGGCTGGGAATACTGCAGGGAGTAACTCATCTCCTGACTCCCAAAAGCCTGTCCACCATCTACAAGGCACAAATCAGGAGTGTGATGGAATACTTTCCACTTGCTTGGATGGGTGCAGCTCCATCAAAATTCAAGAAGCTTGACACCACGCAGGACAGAGCAGTCCACTTGATTGGCATCCACCACCTTCAACATTCATTCTTTCTACCTGCAACTCCAAGTGGCAACAGTGTGTACCATCTACGAGATGCACTATAGTAACTCACTAAGGCTCCTCTGACTGCATCTTCTAAACCAGCAACCCCTACCATCTAGAAGGACAAGGGCGGCAAATACATGCGAACACCACCACCTGCAAGTCCTCCTCCAAATAACACGCTATCCGAATTGGAAATATATCACTGTTCATTCAGCGTCACTGCGTCAAAATCTCAACTTCCTTCCTAATAGCACTGTAGGTATCCCTACAACCTGAGAGCTGCAGTGGTTCCAGAAGGCAGCTCACAACCACCATATAGATAGCAGTTAGGGATGGGCAAGAAATGTTAGACCAGCCACAAATTCTTACAGCCCACAAAAATGCTGTACCTGAAAAGGGGGCTACTTGTGCAAGGTTTGATGGTCCTCAAGCTGACTCATATTACACAATTAATAATTCAACCTTACTTTTAAGTTTTGATCACCTTTAGACTTTTGCTGCCAAGCAAAGAGGTTTAAGACAATTTAAGGTCCCAAGGGCAGAAACTGCAGCTATGATCAGTTCCAGAATGAAACCATAATTTTGATTAAAGACAAGCATTGAATCACTTGGTAACAGTGGAGGAAAACAATTTGGCAAAAGGAATATTTAAACTTTTTAACTGGGGCCTCTGGTGAAGGACGTGATTGTTTCATTCTGAACCAGCAGGCTTGCTATTAAAAACATTGACATGTGATCAGTGGTGATCCTTGCAGCGGAGAGAAGAGTTAGTTGTGGAAACACAGGATCATTTACAGCAAAGAAGGAAACTATTCAGCCCATCAATTCTACGGAATGCTCTACAGAGAGATGGCCATCAGTCCCCTCCTTGATCCTTGCAAGCCAGAAAGTTGATTTCCTTCAAGTCTTCATCCACTTACTTTTAAGAAGCATTTATTGTTTCCACTTCCCCCATCATTATAGCCAGCGAGGCTATTCCCACTCTTCCTCATTTCCCCCATATCTTTTGTCTGGAACATCGAATTGTTGCCTCCTTGTCCTTGGATTATCAGTTAGTGGAAACTGTTTTTCTCTATTGACGTTATCTACTCCTGTTATAATCATGTGCACCTCCACCAAATTACCCCTCAATCTCCTTTGTTCCAAGGAGAACAACCCCAGCCTAATGGCAACCTGACCTTGTTGCTAAAATCCCTTATCCCGGGAACCAATCGAGTAAATATCCTCAAGTTGCTTCACATCTTTCCAAAAACATGTGGAGACCAGAACTGCAGAGAATTCTTTATAAAGTTCTGGTCAGTTCATAACTGAAGGTTCAGCAAATGCTCCCTAGTTTTGTACACAATACTTATATGTACGAAGTTGAAGATCCTGTAGGCTTTGCTAACTATTTTCTCAATGGCACTCTGATTACCTACACCAGTAACACTGCAGCAACTCAAGAATGTACCACCATCTTCTCAAGGGTCCTTAGGAAGGACGGTAAAATTAGTCACTGGATCCGAAACAGTTACGCTTTTCTTCCCACACATTCTGCCAGACCAGCTGAATTTCACCAACAATTTCTGTTTTTGATGCAATAGATACTGGTCTGGCTCGTCATGTTCTTTTCCCAGAAACAAATTTTTAAAATCTGTGCTGCAATCTTCAAAGACAACGCACAGTAAGTAAGGAAAATAGAAGCAATCAATGAAGAATTACTCAGTTAACTTCCTCTGTCACGAAGTTGTACTCAAACAATTAATTGATGCAGAATTGCACACGTTCTTATTAGGTGAACGGTACAGGAAATGTATGAAACTGACTGCAACAAGTATTTCAGACTTGTGAAGAGTCAAAATACATAACTCAGAACTGTAACAAGTTTTAATTTCTCAACTAAGGCTGCAAACATCAGTTGTAAGTATTGATTGTTTGGGTGTATTTTCAGTGAGTACTGTATACTCAATAAAACAGTGACAACTGGACATGGGAATACCAACCCCTGTAAGATTCCCTCCAAGCCACTCACTATCCTATCTTGGAAATATATCATCGTTCCTTCATGTCGCTGGATAAAAATCCTGGAACTCCCTCCCTCACAACATTAGATCATAAGAAATAGGAACTGGAGTAGGCCATTCAGCCCCTTGAGCCTGCTCCTCCATTCAATAGGATCATGGCTCATCTAACATTCTTCACATCCGCTTTCCTGCCCAAACCCCATAACCCTTGATTGATTGCTTGATTGGTTTATTGTCACGTGTACTGAAATACAGGGAAAAGCTTTGTTTATGAGTGGTACAGGCAGATCACAGCAAACAAAGGATGTACAGAGCAAAAAGACTTAGAGGCATCCAGGTTACATTGCAGGTTATGTTATTTAAGGCTAGAGTCCATTCAACAGTCTGTTGATAACGGACAGAAAGAAGCTGTTCCTGAACCTGCTCATGTGCGTGTGTTCAGTTTCTTATCTTCTGCCTGATGGAAGAGGCTGTAGGAGTTTCACCAAGTCCCTTTGTGTTGCAGCTTTCTGCAGTTTTTCTCCATTTAAATAATATTCTATTCTTTTGTTCTCCCGTCCAAAATGAGTATCACATTTTCCCACATTATACTCCATTTGTCAAATTTAGCCCACTTTTTTAACTTGTAAATATCTCTCTATAAACTGTTCGTATCCCTCTCATAGCCTGCCTTTCCATTTATATTGTGTTACCTGCAAATTTGGCAATGGAATATTCACTTCCTTCCTCTAAGTCATTAAGATATTGCAGGTGCAATCACACCAAGTGGACTGTAACGGTTCAACAGGCAACTCACCCCCTGCCTTGTTAAGGGCAATCATTGCAGGTCCAGCTAGTGAAACCCACCCTCACATAATAAATAAAAAGAAACTGATAGTGGATTTTAAAAGTCACATTGAAGCAAGAAAAATCTTTTTTACACAGTGAGTCATTAGGGTATGGAGTGTACTGCCTGGAAATGTGGTGGAGGCAGGATCAATAAGGTATTCAAGAGGGAATGGGGTGATGATTTAGATAGTAATGGTGTGCAGGGATATGAAGAAAAGGCAGATGATTGTCACTAGACAATGGAACCAGTGCAGGCACAATGGGCCAAATGGCCTCTTTCCGTACCATAACAATTCTATGATCAATGAGATTTTGGGATGTCTGGTTGGCGTGCACGAGTTGGACTGAAGGTTCTGCTGCTGTGTTGTACGGCTCTATGACTCTATTGTCGCCTTTAATAGGGCAGAAATGACTATTACGAGGGGGCATAATTTTAAGGTGATTGGTGAAAGGTTTAGGGGAGATGTCAGAGGTAAGTTCTTTATACAGAGAGTGGTGGGTACGTGGAATGCGCTGCCAGCAGTGGTAGTGGAATCAGATACATTAGAGACATTTAAGCAACTCTTGGATAGGCACATGGATGTTAGTAAAATGTAGGGCATGCAAGGTCGTTTGATCTTAGTAGGATAATAGGTCGGCACAACATCGTGGGCTGAAGGGCCTGTACTGTGCTGTAATGTTCTATGTTCTATGTGACAAGACTAGAAAAAATATTTTGTTCACCAGCCACTGAAAACTGATTTGATTTGATTGTCACATGTACTCAAGTACAAAAGTACAGAAGTACAGTGAAAAGTATATAATGTCGCTACACAAGGTGCCACCTTCAGTACAAGTACCTAGGAACAGAATCTTAAGGATGAGATAGAAAGAAAGAACAAAGCTAAAAGTTAAATATTGCAGTAATTATTGTGTAGCATGAAATAAGGTTAAAAGTTACACTTTGCAGACCTTCTTAGTTTTGTAGAAAATAGAAAAACAGAGCTGAAACTTCAAGTTCCAACATGATATAAATTCAGGCAAATTAGAGAGATAATTTCAACATGCCTGCAATCACAGAGGTAAGTAGCTTTCTATGGTTTGAAATTAGGTGACAATATTAATTCTCTGTTCCTCTTGCACTTCCAATACAACATCCCATTGGAACTGTGAAATCAATGAATTTACACGATCGTGAAAAGCAAAAAGATCCTGAAAATGAAGCACAGGCCCTTTGCTCGAGCTCAAAATATTTTCTGAATTTGCTATACATAGGATCATTAAATTTAGGACAAACAAGGAGGCTTACGTGTTGTAGGAGTGGATGTAGATTTTGAACATCATAGCTTGCTGCAATGAGAAGAGGTGGATCACTGTCCTGTGGAGAATATCACTGGCTTCTGCAAAGAACTGGTCAAATCCCCAACATTTGGTCTGGTCCACCTCCAGGATATTGGCGAGGATGGGAACTAACAAGTCCTTCAAACCCCTAGAGGAACACAGCAAAAGAGGAAAATGAGACACTAGATCAGTTACACTTGTCATTGGTAAATACAGAGGTTACTGACCAAAGTAACAGGAGCAACCACAAACACAGAAAAAAAAATCAGCTGGATTAAGCCATTTCACCCATTACACTTGTTAAACTATTCAAAATTTTCATAGCTGATCTTCTAATTCAGCACTACTTTCCTGCTCTATCACGAAGAATCAATTTAGATTTAGATCAGCACCTTCAGGAACTTGTATCCCAGTGAGAGTCAGCATCTTCAGGAACCGTATCCCAGTGAGAATCAGCACCTTCAGGAACTGTATCCCAGTGAGAGTCAGCACCTTCAGGAACTGTATCCCAGTGAGAGTCAGCACCTTCAGGAACTGTATCCCAGTGAGAGTCAGCTCCTTCAGGGACTGTATCCCAGTGAGAGTCAGCTCCTTCAGGGACTGTATCCCAGTGAGAGTCAGCACCTTCAGGAACTATATCCCAGTAAGTCTAATGAATTAATCTTATAATGTAGAACTTTTTGATGTGAAGTAATATCAGTTATCTTCAGGATATCAGAACCTATGAATTAATTTTGGAAATACATAGTCTAATTCCACAAACAGCAAATGAGATCTTTGTCCCAGTATTGCTGGTGGGAGGATTGTAGACCAGGACACCACATTATTAATGTTTTAAGCAGACATTTACTAACTAAAGAGACACTGCGCTCAGTTTGATATTGCAGTAAAGATAATCCTTTTAATACTGTAGCACTCCATCAGTGCAGTGGCAATTTGTAATGTGTATAAGTCCCAGAGTGGGGTTCAAACCCAGTATCTCCTGACTCACTGACACATCAAATTATAATCTTTGATCCTTATGGCACAGATCAGATGCCCCATGATCAGGTATACAAGACTCAATGGGCTGAATAGCCTCAACCTGTTCCATTGGTCTTGTACATCTTGTGGAGTTTCTTGTACGGTCACACCTTGGTCCTCTTCCTTGCTGTGATCGTTTTAACACATTGCAGTAAGGTAGCTGTGAAAGTACAGCCAGGTGGGGTTCACAGACTAGGGGCTGACCCTGGTCTATGTGACCCTTCTTTGGAGAGACTTACCGGGATAGTCTGCAGCTAATGGGCAGCTCATAACTCCATTCGATCGATTCATCATCTCTGTGCTGCACTCCGGCAATCGCTCCCTCTGGCTTCTGAGTTGTGATTTTATACCTGCAATGAAACCATGCTGAGCTGATAAAAAGCTGGATAACATCCATATTATACTGATGGGAGGGTTAGGTGGGAAATGAATAACCAAGATGTGGAGGTGCCGGTGTTGGAGTGGGGGTCAGCTGATGAAGGAGCAGCGCCCCGAAAGCTTTTGATTTCAAATAAACCTGTTGCACTATTAACCTGGTGGTCGTGTGACTTCTGGAAATGAAAAGGACAGGAGTATGGGTGAGGAATTGGGCAGGGTGGAAAAAACCAGGACTTGATTAAAGAATGGGATGAGAATGAAGGATTTAAAAATCAAAGAGATGGAGTGAGATGAGATGAACGCAGTGAGATGGGATTTAAAAATAGATGGCATGGGATGGAATGTGATGGGAAATTATCAAAAGATGTACAAATTTGGGAAATTGCATGGATTAAAGCAAAAGAGAGATTCAAAGGCCTTGCTGAAAGTAACTTACATCATCTCCTTGTTCTTGCGGGGTCCTCCGAAAGGAATGAAGGGTAGTCTACCAGTCGCTGCTTGGTAGAACGTAACACCGATGCTCCACAAATCCACTGTGACTCCATAAGCCTTCTTCTGGGGTTTCCGAAGAACAGCACGTTCATACATATCTGGGTGCTGCCAGGCACAATGATGGTGAGTGAATATTAGGGGTTGTAGTGGGAGCAATATTCATTTCAATGGTTCTCCCTGTCTCTGGAGACTCTGGCTCTCCCTGGGGTTTATTCAAGAGGAGATTCTGGCCCAGGACCATCAGGAGGCTCTGCAACGTCGAAGGATCGTAGCTCAGACTGACCCGGGCTTCAGCTAATCTCCACATTTACAGGTAAGCACCAGCCAGGAGCTGAATCCCATCCACTTTCATGGCTACAACCCAACCCCATCACGCTTCCCCAGAAATGCCCCACACACTGACACACCCTCACCCACACCGACGCAATCCCCCACACCGACACACCCCCCCCACACCGACACGCTCCCCCCCCACCCCAGCACACCCCCCCCACACCAACACACCCACCTCCCCCCACACCGACTCCCCCTTCACCCCAGTGACACCCCCTCCCCCACACTAACAGCCCGTCCTCTCACACCAAAACACCGTCCTCTGCACCAACCTCCCCACACTCCCACCATCCCGGCCCCCACAACAACCCTGCTCCTTCTAACCTCCCACCACCCCAACACATGGATCCCTGAACCAAACTCCAACTCCTACATCAACCAGCTCTGCGCCCCCCCAAACCCCCACACACCCCTAACCCTCACCCTAACCCTCCACACAGTGACACAAACACCCCCCACCCCCTCTACCACTGTCCATTTCCCCTAGTGGCTGTCAGTTAACGTTGAGCAACTTGAAGACATTGAGTGAAATCTAGAACGTTCTAAGCTGTAGAACTCAGTGTCACTTCATGCTGACCCACTGGCAACAACATGCCCATTGATTCTGTTACATTTGATGAATTATGGGAAGGGTACTAACCAAATATTCCTCAGTCCCATACAGTGAGACAAACTTCTCATTATCTTCGAGTTCCCGAGCTGCTCCAAAATCCGTCAGTTTATAAATTGATTGACCATCATCCCCAACCACACGCATGATGTTCCCTGGTTTGATATCTCGATGGACAACTCCATTCTCTCTCAACTGGTTCATTCCACCAACTGGAGTGGGGGTGGGTGGTGGGTAACAGAGGAAAGAGGAGATTACGATAAGTGGAGGAAAGCAATTCCACTCCAAGTGCCAGTCTGGAAGCTTACACTCACCGAACCCAGCCAGCCCTGCCTGATAAATTGGTATCTCACCCAATCTTTATCTCTCAATTAACCCCAATTCAAAACAAAAAGGGATCATCTGGTTGTTAAAACATTGGTGTCTTTGTGGGATCTTGCTGTGCACATTTAGGCTGCTAAGTTTCCAATGTTACAACAGTGCAAAAGTTGTTTTATTGGTGGTGCAGTGCTTTGAGGTCACAGATAGATCCCGCCCACCCCAACACACACACACACACGCGCGCGCACACACACGCACACGCGCACACACACGCGCACACACACACGCCTTACTCTCTACGTGGATTCAAAATCTGTCCGAAATGAAAATGATTTGGGTAATTTTCACCAAGTTTCCTTGTGATTTTGACACATAGCCATCAGAATCTTGGAAAATCAACGGATCAAAGTCTTCTATTGGCCGGAATAATACACATCCATATTATTCTGTTGTTAAATCTAAAAGGGTTAAATGATTAAGGTGGGTCATAGAGCCTAGATTCTGATATAACGTCCCTGATAAAATACTAATTCTCTTTTTCTTCCTATAGCTACTTCCAGACCTGCTGAGCATTCCCCACATTTTTTTGGTTTTTATTTCAGAATTCCAGCACCTTGCATTATTGGATGATCAAGGGGCGATGTGGTCAAGATGGGAAAGCTGATTGACTGATTTACCATTTATTGGGGGGGGCGATGGCCTAGTGATATTATTGCTGGAGTATTAATCCAGAGACCCAGATAGTGTTCTGGGGACCTGGGTTCGAATCTTGCCATGGCAGATGGTGGAATTTGAATTCAATAAAATATCTGGAATTATGAATCTAATGATGACCATGAATCCATTGTCAGGAAAAACCCATCTGGTTCACTAATGTCCTTTAGGGAGGGGAAACTGCCATCCTTGCATGGTCTGGCCTACATGTGACTCCAGACCCACAGCAATGTGGTTGACTCTTAACTGCCCTCAATTAGGGGCAATTAGGGATTGGCAATAAATGCTGCCTGGCCAGTGATGCCCCTCATCCAGTGAATGAATAAAGGAAAAAAAAAATTTCCTTTCTTTAAGGGAGTCCAAAACAAGGACCATAACTTGAAAATTCACGGTGAGCATAAGAAGCATTTCTTAACACAAGCAGGAGTGGTAATCTGGAAATGATCCTCTGAGAATATGGAATACACTCAAAGAATTCTCGCTCTTTTTTCACCAATGTTTGTGACAGGCAGCTGCAAGATCAGCTTCAAACCATGCCGCCCCCCCCAACCCCCTCAGCAACAGACGGTGACTCTGGCCTGACTGGGTTATTATTCTTCCCCCAGCCCCACCCCTTCTCCCTCTATTTATTTCCCAGATCCCTTTCCCCTCCCCAATTCTGACCCGAAACATCAACATTCCTGCTCCTGTGATGCTGCCTGACCTGCTGTGTTCCTCCAGCTCCACGCTGTATTGACTCTGACTCCAGCATCTGCAGTTCTTGCTATCCCTGGGCTATTATTCAGTTTCAAATAAAAGCAAGATACTGCAGATGCTGGGAAACCTGAAACTAACACAGAGAATGCTGGAGAAACTCAGCAGGTCAAGCAGCAGAGAAACAGTTACTGTTTCAAGTCTGATGACCTTTCTTCAGATTTGTACAAGAGTCACTGGGCTTGAAATTCTCCTTCCCTCTCCACACATGCTGCCAGACCTGCTGAGTTTCTCCAGAGTTTTATGATTTTATTTCTGCCATTTTGTCTCTTTGATGAGAATGTAACTTTCTTGGAGCCAAACAGCTGCTGATTGGTGGGTGGGGGTCAGGGCACTGTGTTGGGATATTGACTAGATCAGACCCCACCCCCTGTCCCACCATTTGCCAAACTTCCCCACGAGCACACATTGATGAAGTGACCTCCTTGGGTATAATCCAGAGACGTGGAGACTGTGTAGAACTTACCGACACTTTCCAGGACAATCAGAAATTCAGCTTCTGATAACCCAAATGCATTTTCCGATTCTTCCAGAACATTGAGTAGACTCCCACCCGAGCAGTACTCCATCACCAGTACCTTCTGTTTAGTGGCTCCCTAAAGGACAGGCACATTAAGAAATAACTCCAACCCATAATATATAGCAAAGAGAGAGAGAGAGACATGCACATCATCTCTGGGTGGGTGTATATATCACAGTTGATAACTTTATACAGGATGGTGTGCAGTCTGGAGGGGAACCTGCAGATGTTTCCATATATCTGCTGCCCCTGGTTGTGTGTTTTGAAGGTGCTGTTGAAGGAGATGAGGTGAGTTACTGCAGTATATCTTGTAAATGATACAAATTCCAGCAACTGTACATCAGTGCTAGAGGGAATGAATGCTTGTGGATGTGGTGCTAATAAAGCGGGCTGCTTTGTCCTGAATGGTGTCAAGCTTCTTGAGTTTTGTTGGAGCTTCCCTCAGGCAGTTAGGCATCCAGGCAAGTGGGGGGTATTCTATCAAACTCCTGACTTGTACCTTGTAGATGGTGTTCAGGCTTTGGGGAGCCAGGAGGTGAGTTACTCGCCACAGGATTCCTAACCTCTGACCTGCTCTTGTACCCATTCTGTTTATCTAGTGAATCCAATTGAGTTTCTGGTCAATAGTAACTCCCAGGCTGTTGATAGTGGGGGATTCAGTGATGACAATGTAATTGATTATTAAGGGGTGATGGTTGTCTTCTGTCTTATTGGTGATGATCGTTGAGTGGCACTTGTGTGGCATGTATAGTAGTTGCTGCCTGTCAGTCCAAACCGAGATGTGTCTAAGTCTTGCTCCATTTTGAGCATTTATAAGTCTCTGAGACTCTGAGAACTCCAAAGGTTCACAGACCCTGGACTGAGAAAATTTCTCTCTGATGCAATCCTACAGGATTGGCCTCTTAACTCGAGACACTGCCTCCATGTCATTGATTCCAGAGTCAGGGAGAAACAATCTCTCTGCACTTTCCCTTTTATGTTCCCTCAGAATTGTAAAATTTATAATACCATCACTTCTCAATGTCCAGAGAGTATAGGCCCAATGTACTTAGACTCTCATTATAAGAAAAGCCATTCCCCAGGATTCAACAGAGTGAATCTTCTCTGTACACCCTCCAGATCAAGTGTAGCTTTCCTTAAATATGAAGTGAAAGACTGCACATTTTTCCAAGTGTTTTCTCACCATTGTAGGTAGCTGTCCCTATTCCCATACTCCAATTACTTTGCAGCAAAGGGCAACCTGCCATTGGCTCTCCCAGTCCACTCATGGTGAGGGTCCTGTTTTCTGGATCTGGGCGGGGGCTGCACAGGGTGGTTGGAGGGGTTTGGTGGAGGGGGGAACACGGTGTTGTCACTGCCAATGGTTTAGGTGCTGTTACCATCTGTTCTGGGTGAGGTGGGGATTGGGGAGGATTTCTGCTCTAGGGGAGGGCAAGGCTTATTCTATGCCAGGTTCATGGGGGTTGTATAACTCTGCCTGTGGTATTGGGGATAGGCATGGGGGGAGTGCTTTCTGACAAGTTATAGTAACCTGTTTAAGTTAATGACAGGAGCAGACACTTACCACTTCCTCCACTGCAAACAGTTTCACAATATTCTTGTGGTTTAATTTCCGTAACATTTCAAACTCTCTCATCTGCACTTCATAAGGACGCAGATAACTGACATGATTGAATACTTTGACAGCATACTGATCACCGGTTTTCTGTAAAGCAGTTTGAAACAGTCACAAATCAGACATGAAGAGCAAGACGCAATGAGCCCAATAAGCTCTTCACCTTCAATTCAATTCAACTTCACCTTCTCATCATCTTCCTCTCTCCACAGAAACACAGCTAATCCAATCACCACATTCCCAAGGTTCACTCCATCCTCTCCCCTGATAACTTTGACTGAACTCTGACCAAGAGAAGAGTTCCCATTCCATTTATATTGTTATTTTGTTTCAAACTTTCTCTTTTATCTGCGAAGTGCAGGGATCACAGTTCCATGGGAAGATCGATTAAATACCATCACAGATGATTGAACTTTTACAAAATAATTCATCGACAGGATGAGGGCATCGTTGGCCAGACTGAGCATTTATTGCCCAGAGGGCAGTTAGGAGTTACTAGCACCTTGCTGTGGGTCTGGAGTCATACGTAGGTCAGATCAGGGAAAGATGGCAGTTTCCTTCCCTTGAGGACATTAGTAAACCATCTGGGATTTTTTTTCCTGACAATTGATTCATGGTCACTACTAGATACTTAATTCCAGATTTTTATTGAATTCAAATTCCACCAGCTGCCGTGGCAGGATTCAAACCTGAATCTCCAGAACATTACCTGGGTCTATGGATTAACAGTCCAGTGATAACACCACTAGATCATCATCTTCTCTTTTTGAAAGCTCATTCCAAGTTCCCCTGGTTATAAATTATCCAGTTACAGAGGCATTGAGCTTTCCCCTTCCCTGTCCCTCCCTCCCTCCCTCTCTCTCTCTCTCTCAGTCTCAGTCTCTCTCCCTCTCTCTCTCTGAGTCTCAGTCTCTCTCTCTCCCTCTCTTTCTCTATTGCACTCTCTCTGCCTCAGTCTCTCTCTTTCTCTCTCACTCTCTCCCTCTCTCTCCTTCTCTCTCCCACTCTCTCTTTCTCTCCCACTCTCTCCCTCGCTCTCTCTCTCCCCTCTCTCTACCCCCTCTCTCTTTCTCTCTCTCTTCCACTCTCTCCCTCGCTCTCTCTCCCCCCTCTCTCTTTCTCTCTCTCTTCCACTCTCTCCCTCCTCTCTCTCTCTCTCTGTCCTCTCAAGATGATGTAGAAGATCCTGAGTAATATTTGAAGAACAGCAAGAAGGTTTTCAGTCGTGTTCTGACCTATATTAAACCTTCAAAACTAAACAAACTATATATGGCAACCATCTTATTGCAATTTCTGGGATCTTGCTGTGTGTGATAGTCAGCCTGTCAGCATATTCCTCACCCCGAACCACATGTATGTCCATTAATCCTGTCTAAGCAGATGCCTCCTTTGTTCTCCTCAAATATATCAGTGGTTTCTCGATCCAATTTACACATCTAGTCCCAAAACGTTTGCTTATTCCATTACCAGCTGGGTAAAAAGTTATGACAACTTCACATCTTCATCCTAACTTCCTCATTGTCTGTGCTGTTTGAACTCCTCAACCAGACGGGTTTACCTTGTGACGCGCTTTGTACACACTCGCAGTTGCTCCCTGTCCAAGGACATCACTGAGTAACCAGAGGTAATTAGTTGTGCTCTGCATTCCTGGTCTCAGATGTAATCTTTCAGAACAGCCTGTCCAATCAAAACGAAAACACATCAGTGACTGGACTGGAGCCAAAACGTTCTTCTAAGTCCATGCTATGGGTCAGTTGAGGCAGCAAATATTTGGTGTTGAACAATTGATCAGAAAATTGACCAGATTTCAACCCAGACTTGCCCAGGAGAGTGGGAGAGGCACTACAATTGTACATTGCTGGATGACACAAGGTGAAAACAGCCAAGACTCTGCTCAGATCAGTCCCTATACCCTTCTGTCCCTGAGACATATAACACGAATGAAGCCAGGCTCAGGCATGGTGCTGGGCACACTCTGCTGACCGTGAACTATTGGCTCTTTGCTTGGCAAGGCACTATCAGAGTGAAAAGGGTGTCCTTCTGATGCCATGGATCAACCAATCACAATCAAGAAACAGATTGTCTGGGTATTGCTGTTTTTGAGAAGGATGGTCAAGACATACAAGTTAAATTCCTATAGCACCTTTCACAACTTCTGAAAATTTATTTTATTCATTTGTGAGATATGGGCATCACTGGCTGGCAAGCATTTATTGCCTGTCACTAATTGCCCCTTGAGAAGGTGATGGTGAGCCACCTTCTTGAACTGCTGCAGACCATGTGCTGTAGATAGACCCACAATGCCCACAGCGAGGGAATTCCAGCATTTTGACCCTGCAAATGTCCCAACTTTTACAGTCAGTTACATATGATTACTGTTTGCACATATGTTCGACCCTTATCCTTCATCCCTGTCCTATTTCTCCCCCAACTCTTCCCCACAATCTGCACCATTGTCAGGTGCAATCTCGTATATGAGCAGTTTCTACCCTAACTATTAACCCTGGAATTTAATTTCATGTTCCCAAAACTTTGTGTTTGAGAAACTGCTACCTACTCTCTGTTCTAAATTTTATTTCACTTTATTTTCAGCTGCTCTTGTTCTCAACCCTTTAATAATTGGAAATGTTCTACATCTATACAATGTAAAGTCATCGTGGTCCTACTGGGCCACAGTCCAACTCACCCATTACACAGAGGGATGCCTGGTGATGGTTTAACCTGAGGGTCACCATGCCTCAGGTGAAGGGAGACATTGAGAAGGTCAGCCCCTCATAGTAACCTCAGCCAGGGAGGCAATTGAAGCCACGCTGTTGGTATCAGTGCAATGCAAGCCTGCCTTCCAGCCAACTGAGCTAACCAAACCCCTCTGCATCGATGTAATGTCCCTGAGTAGATGGCACTCCCACCTCTGAGGCCATGTGTCTGGGCTACACCCCAGAAATGTGAAGGTAAACCATTCAGACACAGAGGGAGTGCTGCACTGTCCCAGGAGCTGTCTTACAGATAAGATGTTAATTTAAACAGACATCCATCTACCCTTGGAGCTGGACGTGGATGATCCCACAACACTCTTTTGAAAGGGGTTGGCATCCTCACTAAAGAAAAATGAACGATCTGGTCATTATTACACTGCTGTTTGTGGGATCTCACTGTGCACTCTCGCTGTTTTTTTTGTGTATCTTCGCATTGCAACACCCCAATGGCCGTGAAACACTTTGGAATTTCCAGAAGTGGTGAAAGGCGCTACAGAAATGCAATATCTTTCCCGAGCATCAGCTGTAAGCTGCAGTGTGACGACATTATGGTGATTCCCTCCTGTTCTGTCCCTTTAACAGAATCCGGTTCAATTCCGGGGCTTTCAAAGGAGGGACACCCCATCCCATGCCCCCAAGTGACCCCTCAACCTGTCGACAGGACATCTCCCCCCCACCCCATCACCCCCACTCTCTGAATGACACCCACTGTGGAGGAAACTGGTCCACATTGAGATAGCATTGGAATCAGAATGGTGTCGCTTTGGCTCACGGTGTGAACTGACAGGTTCTGGAGCCCCCCTGGGGGGTCGGGGAGAGGGTTCCGGCTCCCTCAGCCCTGACCCTGGGGAAATGTGCCTCACCTGGAAACACCGACTCTCAGCAAACCTCCTGAGCTCAGGACCATCCGCCCCACAGACTGAACGGAACAAAAACTTGAAACTAATTCGGAAAAAAAGAAGTTGCTTTCGTTTCCACTCTTCCGCATCTCCGACTCCTCCGTGTGTGTTTGTGGGGAACTGCAGCGTAACCCCCGGTTTCCACTGGCTCTAGCCTCCCTCCCCCGGGGATTACAGGGTTCAATCCGCCCCCCACCACCGGCATCGAAAAGGAATGATGTGGAGTTTTGTCTCTGAGCTATGAAACGCTGAGTGGCCTGGCGTCGGAGACCCTAACTCTGGACAAACATAATTCATTGAAGAGTCTCATAGATAGTCAGACATGTAACACAGTGTACAGCTGGAGGAACACAGCAGGCCAGGCAGCATCAGAGGAGCAGGAAAGTTGACATTTTGGGTCTGGACC